GGGCTGGTTTCATTTAATTTTAATAATTTAAACTTAAATTTGAATATGGCTAGTGGCTGCCATATTAAGTAACACTGCTCTGACATACATAAGCCAAGAAGAGTGACCCAGCTGAAAAAGACCAAGTATTTCTTTTTCTTTAATATATCTTTATTGATTTCATAAAGAGGAAAGGAGAGGAATAGAGAGATAGAAACATCAATGATGAGAGAGTCATTGATCGGCTGCCTCCTGCACGTCCCCGACTGGGGATCGAGCCCGCAACCCGGGCATGTGCCCTGACCAGGAATCGAACCCCGATTGCCTGGATCCTGGGTGGACGCCCAACCGCTGAGCCACGCCCGGCCGGGCCCAAGTATTTCTTGTAGGGTGTGTGATGGTGGCTCCACAGACTGATGAGGATTCTAAAGAGGAAGCACCAGCCATGAGTTAACCTGCCATAAGGCAAGGAGCCCTGAACTTTGGTGGCTTAGGCCTCTGGGCCAGCACACATAGCAAAGGCTAAGTGTGTTGACATCGGCAGTGCCCAGGGCCTGGGGGCGATCGAGCTTGAGAGAGGGTCCTCAGGGGAAGGAGCTTCAGGGTTTTTTGCAGTTCCATAATTGTCATGTAATTGGGTGGCAGTTAGTCTGAGCTGTCCGTCAGTTTTTGCCCTTTGGTTGGCATCCTTCTCACTTGGGAGGAGAAAGCAGACACCTCTAGCTTTGCCAGGGCAGGTGTTAGAAGGGCTGAGAGCCAGAAGGATATTTCTACAGGTAGAGAAAATCTCCCACTCAGAGAGCTGGCAGGCTCTGGGCTTAGAGAAGGGTCCATTTCTAGAATGCCCATCAGGACATTCAGACCCTTGTATGAGCTGCCTTTGGGTACTAGTCCTTTGTGCTCTCACATCTACAATCTTCTATCACTAGTGCCAGAGAGGTCTTGGAGATGGGTCATTTGAGTACCTTCTCTTCAGTGCATGCATAAGAAAACTGACTTGCCTAGGGTCCCAGAGTAAGAAATCCTCTACGCTCAGCTGCCTCTCTTGAGGTAGGGCTGGTCACTGCTATTCAACTCCCCCCACTCACATAAAGGCTCCAAGGCCTATTTTTTGGTGGCCACTCTCCCTAAAAGCTGGTATGTGAGTCTTGAGGCCAAATCCACCCCTCTCCATCATCCCCTCACAATTTCCCTGGTCTGGCTCTAGGTCAGTGGCTCCGCTGAGATACCTGGACACAGGTTAATCAGTAGTAGTTAAGAGCCACATCTGTGGAATCACTCAATTCCCTGTAGCCCACACCCCAGCTTCTTATTTGCTACTCAAAATCTAGGTATACCTAAGGGAGCCTTGGAATGTGAACCCATGATTTAGGCAAAGATCGGAGAAGGACTGCTTCAAGGAACAAAGACTGCTCCTGGGGGGGGTGATGCAGAAATGGGGAAATCATTTCCATCAGGGACTGTGGAGAAGTGCTACCTCAGAGCCAACACAAGGCAAGCCAGAGATCCCCCTTGGTTACCAATACCTCACAAGGGCCCCACCAAGCAAACCCAGGCTCTTTGAGGAGCTATCTACCTGCAGGATGAGAGGGCGAAAGGTGTCATGGATATGGGCCCTCCACTTGAGCAGGTAGACTGTGGCTCCCATGACTCTTCCCACATGGGCTGTCTCACCAACCCCAACACCCGACACCTCATGGCTGGCCCAAAGGGCATAACAGCAAGGGAAAAAAGGGTGAAGGACAGGATACAAACACTGTTAAGTGCTTCCATGTGCCAGGAGCTTTGCCTAGTTGCTGGCACAAGATGGCAAGCTGTTTCATCTGTGTTCCTCTTCCTCAGCCTTGATAGGAGCCCAAAGGAACAGCTGAGAGTAGTCAGCCTAATTTTAAACTGAAAAAAAGCAAGCTCCAAAAGGCTAAGTCAGGACATCCTTCCTCCCAGGTCAGTGCCTTTCTGGCTACCTGAATTTTGGCTTCAACTCCAGAGAGAGAGAGAGAACTGAGTCCTGTTCCAGACACAGCCTGTCCCTCAGCAGATCAGGCTAAAAAGCCTAGAGTGGGCTGGAGAGTCTCCCTGTAAATGCTGGCTGCATGGGATGGCAAGATGCTTAGAGCTGCCATTTTGTTGGGGGCAGAAATATTAATCGTGCTCTGTTAACTACGATTTTAGCTATAGTTGTAAGAAATATTAATTATGCTCTATTAACCGTGATTGTTTTGTTTTGATTTAAAAAAGCACATTCTAGCTGAAAGTTGAATGCCCTAGGACATGGGAGTAAACTTTGGAATTTGGTCCACACTTCTTTTATCAGCATGGGAAGATTAACAGCCTTGTTCCCAAAACAATGGAATCCCAAAGGAACCCACCCTTTGCATTTCCAGTCCACATTGCTTATAAGCTGTTAGCATTATATCTTGCCTACTTCACCATGCCTGTAATTCCTACATTCCCATATAATCTTTGTCCTTCTACCCAATATAAGCAGCTGGCTTATGGCGGGGTGGGAGAGCAGATTTTCCTGATGACCACCCTGCTCTCCCACATTGCTGGCAATATTGGAATAAACACTCATATACAATTCAACCCTGTCTCTGCTTAATTGGCTCAAGTAATGACAGGCAGCCCAGACCCATTTGTTGTCTGGTTTCTATTTCCCTTAGCTCTGAAGCTGTCCATCTGTTTCCTGGGATAGAACTCCCTACCCTCGCCCAGTTTGGAAATTCACTTGCTCTGGAGGGAACTGCATGGCTCCCTCCCTCTCTAGGGGGGCAGTGACAGAGGCTGTTGCTGCTGCAATCCCTTCCAGGCCTCCCACCCGCAGGGCTCTAGCTGCCCAGTACCTACCAACATGAGGGGTGACAGGTCCCAGGTGGCCCTGCCCCAGCAGCACCAGTGCCCAGCTTCAGAACAGCCACTAGACTCTCCTCTCTTTCCCCCTCTGGCCTAGCTGGCAAGCATGGCTGCCTGCTTTACTGCTTCTCCTGGCCTGGGGGGTGAGGTGAGGGGATGACTTTCTGTGCAGGAGTTTATGGAAAGTAAAAAAAGTGAAAGATATCCCAGCCTCTTCCTGGAATCCCAACATGATCATCAGCAGGTGAGCACTGCCCCCTGCTGGACATACCAGGTACATCCACCTGTGCCACCCTGCGTCAGGAGCTGTGCAGATAAAAAGCAAATTAATAAGCACTGCCTGAGCCCCAGAGGCTTAAGACCACCCCACAAAACTAGTGTCCAACAACACAAGCAGTGTCAAAGGCAGCTGATGATCCCATATCTTGATCAAGAATCTCTCCTTGCCCAGCCAGGCGTGGCTCAGCGGTTGAGCGTCAACCTAGGATCCAGGTAATCAGGGTTCGATTCCCGGTCAGGGCACATGCCANTACATATTATAGAGGACTCTGAAATTTTAGTTTGACCAGGTCTTCACATTCATAATAAAATAAACTTATCTCTAAAAATACTATTATTTCTCTAAATTTGAAGGTTTTGACAAAATTGTGTGGGACAATTTTAAGCAATGTTCTATTAAAAAAAAAAAAAAAAAAAAAATCTCTCCTTGACCAAGCTCTAGTTAGGCTCCTGTGAGCCACTTTTTTGACTAGGCCTATCTTTGAGCCCTGTCCTCAAGAGCAACAATCCTGCTAAACTGGTTTACTCAGAAGCCGCCAACTGGCCTGGATATCTCATCAGGCTTCTCATCCTCTAACATTCCCTAGATGACATCTGATCACCCTGCCTGCCTTCAGCAAGAATCCTGTTGGGCCCGGCCGGGCATGGCTCAGCAGTTAAGCGTCAACCTAGAATCCAGGCGATCAGGGTTCGATTCCCGGTCAGGGCACATGCCCGGGTAGCGGGCTGCAGCCGATCAATGACTTTCTCATCATTGATGTTTCTATCTCTCTCTCTCCCTCTCCTTTCCTCTCTCTGAAATCAATAAAGATGTATTTAAAAAAAAAAAAAGAATCCTGTTGGAAGGTTAGCCAGAATGTTTCCTCTTGGCATTTTTTCCATCCTTTGACCCCTACACAACTCCTTGGCTATAAATCCTCACTTTTCCTTGTTGTATTCAGAATTAAGTCCAGATCTATACTGAGACCTCTCTTCCCTTATTGTAATAGCTTTTCTGAATAAAATGTTCTAACCACTTTAATACATCAAATGAGTTTTAAAAGGGAGCAAAGCCACATAGGTTGAGGCAAGCCAGGAAGGTTTCTACATGAATTTTTTTTGCAGAATTTGGAAAGGCAGAGAAGGCCTAGTGCAGCCTGACAGGGAATGGCCAAAGCAAAGGTCTTTAGGACGGAGTGTGGGGCAGTGGGAGACCAACAGACCAATGAAGGCACTTGGATACCAGATGAGGAAATGGGTTATTACCTGCTAGTTTTCACAGTTTAAAGCCTTGAACTTTTCCCAGAGAAGAATTAGCCCCAGAACCCCAATATATAAAACTGATCAAGGTTGAGATGGTCTGGCTAAGGGCAGAGGGCTAAACCCCCCCACCCCGAACACAATGCAGTGGACCCTGGGCATCTCTGAACACTTGAAGGAGCAAAGCTTAAACCAGAGCTGTGAGCAATGTACTTGGACTGATAGTACAGTCATGGTGTCTAAGGAGGGAGAACAGAGCCACAGTGTACAAGACAGAGTAAAAGAGGGGGTAGGGAACCCATGATCGAATGGGACACTGAGAATTTGCTGCATTTCTCCAGCTAGCTCTACTCCTACATCAGGACCTTAGGGAATCTCAGGGTCAACATATGGAAACTCAATCCCTCCATTTACCAGAGCATTCCTTTCTCAGTCTTCCCTTAAGCTCTGTCTACATTATCTAATCCAGCTCCTGGTTATACTGACACACTGGTCTGTCTCCTGTATTCCCCTCACACCAACGCACACAGACTTCCACAAACAACACAATTAAGAAAAATAAAACCCTGTGCACTGCACAAAAATGGGCTAAGACAGGAACAGTAATACTCTGTCAGAGGTTACCATGCTTGTCCAGAAAAGATACTCACGCCAGGAATGTCCAAAAGCCTTGACACCAGAAGAGGTAACTTCAGGGCTGCAACACTCCCAGTGACACCCACAAGAATATGGAACTGTCTCTCTACCAAGGGTACATCAGCTGGACATGAGGCCCTTGGTTCCATGTGAGGTCTGGTGGCTTCGAGTCCTGGGAGCCTGCTAGAACTGGGCTCCATAGCTCTGTCGGAATTTAGGATCTAAAAGCAGAACAGGTGCCCACTTCATTCATACATTCAACCAAAATGTATTGAGCACCCTGTTAGACCTTGGGCCAACTGCTGGGGTTCCTGAGGAATCAGCAGCCTCAGCTTCTGGGAGCACACAGACACCTTCACCACACATAAGTCAGTTATAATGTAATGTGGCCTGCACTATGAGGAAGCTCAATACTAGGAGCTGTGGTTGCCTAGGAGTAACTGTCTGAGGAAAAATTAACAATCAAGTTGAGTCCTAAGTAAGTTTTCCAGAGAGAGAAGAAAATAACTTTGCAAGTGGAGCAATCTTACAAAGGTGAAGAGGCCTAAAGGACAGTGGCATGGTAAACAGGGAGTAGTTTAGTAGTGAGGCTAAAGTGTAATGGGGGGGCGTGGTAAGGCTACAAAGTCAGGTCAAGGGCAGTGTCAAGGGTGGTGAGGGCAAGGGTGAATTTCCATTTTAGAAAGATGGTGATAGTGTGAAGGGGGCCCTGGTAGTGGGAAGAGTGGAGGGGCAAGGTAAGGAGATACTGTAGTGAGCTAGGCTGACTAAGGGGAGTGGCAGAATGCCTGTGAGGTGGAACCCTTGGCAACAGGGGGTTTTGGGTGCTTCAGGGAGCTAAGAGATTTGCCTCTCTGTTCCTGTCCCTGTAGAGCAAACTGGGCACTACTCTACAAACCCAAGCCCAGGAAGAGACAAGCATAAAGGGATGTAGGTCAATCCATGAGACCAGCTGATTGGCTTATTCCTCTGGGCCTCAGGTGTTGCTGGAAGTAAGTGCCCATGATAACATGGCTGATGGACATACCAAAACCTACACTCTGAACGCTGGGCCAGCAAGACATACTCCATCAGCAACAATCTCTAAGAACCAATTACATCTAGCACTGGGCAAAGGAGCTGTGGAAGACAAATGCTGTCTTCATGGAATCTGTAGGTGAGTTGAGAAGAGAGAAGTCACATCTGACATCATTTAAGATGGGTCCTTCTCTGGGATGAACCTTTTTGGTAATCACTGAGTCAATTTGTTCATCAGTTTCCTTGCTCCTCCCTCTCCACTTCCCCACCACCACCACCACTGCCACCAGCAAGTTCCCTGAATGTGTGCCCAGGTGTAACCGCCAACCACCAGGCACCTGGTGGGTCCTAAACATCAGCTGAATGAATAATAAACTGTACCCTTTGAAGCAGGGTAGGGCAGAGGACAGAAACTTGGCCTGTGAATCAGGAGCCCTGGGCCCTGTCCATGACTGTGCTTCTGAACTGGTGTGTAACCTTGGCCCAGGGTACTTTTCTTCCTGGACCTGTCTCTTCATTTGAAGATGCAGAGATAGGACCAGGTGATCTTTGAAGTTTCTTCCAGCAGAAACCTGAGTTAATGCAGGAAAGAGAGCAGTAATGGCTCTCTGTACTAGAGGGTCCCCAAAATGGGCAGAATCAGCAGGGGAGGAGACACTAAGGTAGACTCTGAAGAGGAAATGCCTGTGAGTTGCCCAATGGCTACCTCCGTGGCTGCATACCGATAGGGGCCTCCTCTTCACTCCACAGGTCCCTTGGCTCACTAGTACTTCTTGCCCAGTATTTGCTTTCAAGAGTCTGGCACATGAGCTGCATAGCCTCATGAGCTGAGTATCATGTTTGGGTCAATTATCCCACTCCTACCGCAAATTGTCTTCCAGAAACCCGGACCCTTCTTAGCAGGGGTTAAACACAGGCCAGTTCCTTTCATCAAGACTCCCCCGAAGTGCCGTTTGCCAATGATCTCAATCTCTGCTCTACCCCAAGGCCTCAGTCAAGGACCTGCTTGCCTAAAGCAAAACTGCATCTACTCCAGGGCCTGGGGAGCCCTGTTAGCAACTGGCAAGGTCTAGAGGGCCTACCATCCAGCTTGTTCTCAGAAGTAATCAGCAGGTTGATTAGCACCCATAGTAGGTGATGGGGGCACGTTATTGACTCTCCAGGGAAACCTACCTACCAGATCTCAAAACTTGACCCTGTCCCACCTGAGTCAATTGGTACTAGAATAGAGAGATTCCTACAAAACCAGAAGGTGAATTTCATCTCTGCAGCCCCTGAACCTCTACCACATCAAGCTGATACCATTCCTAAAGAACAGGTTACTGAAAGTAATCGGTTAAACTTGGGGCAGGAATCCATGTTGGTGACTTCAACTATGCCCCACAATAGGAGGGACAGCCCAAGACTAACTAACTACTTAGCCTCCTGAGCAATCTTTGCTAAGGACCAAAACCTATCTACCTTTCTAGAAGGGGGGAGGGGGGAGAATTTGTATTTGAGGAGTAGAAAGTACATAATTTAATCAACATTTATTTCAAAGCAAGGTTAAATCAATTCAATCTGGCAATCCCATGGAGGGTGACAACTGGCAGGAGTTCTTTATGCTCACAAAAGATCAAATCACAAACTAGTAAGCCTGTTATTCCATCCATTTCCTGTTAGAACCATCTATTTGCACAGCCAAGGTAGCTGTAGACAGCACCTCATTTTCCTGGGTTCTGCTGTACTCATAAAGAACTCCTGAGCAGCAGAAAGAGTTGGCAGGCAGAGAGGTTATAGGGCTAAAGGCTGTGATTACTAAGCCTCAAGCTCCCGGGGCGCAAGCCATGCAGGTAAGCCACAGCCAGAAAAATGGCAGCTTCTCTGTTCTTTAGAAAGGAAGCGCCAGACAGAGTAAAGAGCCTCAGTTTGTGGCAGGCTCATGCTGTGTAAATCTCCTCTGATGAGTTTAATTATGGTGGAGTTAAGTAAAGGTTTCATGGATAACTGCCAGTCACAATAAGGGAAGATGTGGAGCCAGAGCAGAACCAGGGCTAAGAAAGGGCCAGACAGGGTGTGAGCCCAGCCCAACACAGGAATGATGAGGGGCTGGGGCCTAGGAACAAAGCAGAAGGTAACTCAGGTGAGTGGGCAGAGATCTAGCACACAATAAGAGCTTGAATCCTTCAGTCTCATGTCCAAGCCCTTCACTATTGGCTCCAGGTTTCTGCTCTAGCCTCATCTCCCACCAGTCAACACATCCTACTCTGACCCAGTAATAATGAACCACTGGTTGCTCCCCACAGTGTCACCCTGCCCCAAACTCAGTCATTAAAAGGAGTCCCATGGCCACAGGGGTACTTTAAACCCCCTCCCCCAAGGAAAGGCAAGGGTCTCTCAAGACCTTGGCACTCTAAGACTGCTCTTCTCACAAACCAGAGGCCAGAATACTTGACTCTGTAATCCCATTAGGAGACCCTCCTCAAGGCCATTTGTTGGGTGGGTAGAAAATATTCACATACACAGGCTACTAGCAAGAGACTGAGTACTGCTACCTCTCAGCCACCAGGAGAAATGTGGTAAACCCTTGCTTCCAAGATACCAGCACTTCCCCAATATGGGAAGCTCTCCTGCCCATTATCTGACAGGGGCCTCCAATACTTCAAAAAACAGCATTAAGTTTTTCTCTGACAAAACTTGGCCTCACTCAATTTTCAACAGCCTGTCGGTACTTTTAGGTAGATCTAAGGGATAACTGAAACATTCCAGGGCTCTAGCTTGTACTTTCAGCAGTCCCTATTCCTTTTTGGAAGCAGGATCATGACTTTTTTTTTTTTTTTTAAGGCAAGCAATAAGTGTGGGGAACTGACAAGGTCGCTTTTTAAACTAGATTAAATAGCACTGGAAAATCACCGAGCAGCACAAAGCGGGGATGGGAGCGCAAGAAATTCCTCACTTCAGGCTCAAGGCAGAAAGAGGTCCTTAACGCCCCAGACCGACGGGCACAGATAGGAAAGTGAAGTCCTCACAGGCTCCACAGTCCCTACATGCACACTGCGAGCGGAGCTTCACAGACAGATAGGAAAATGTCTGCCTGTCTGCCTGTGTGCCTGCCCGTCTGTCTGTCGTCCC